TTTTTTCAGTGTTTCTAGTGTTCTTACCGTTTTTCTTTTATGGTGACTAACAAGAGTGTTGAAATTATTGGTAGTGATGCTTGTGCCAAGTGCTTTCGGACAATTGAGTAGCAATTTTCTAAAGGTTTGTTATTATATTTTTCTGTTTTTTTTTTCTTTTCTAATATGTAGTAATAATTCTACACCCTGCAGGATGAGAGTTATTACTCTCATCCTGCAGGGTGTGGTGGGGTGTCTTTTAAACACCGCTAACAGGTTCCATTTAGTTTCAAAGAAAGTCAGATTGAGCCTTGGCTTAAACTGCTTTCTATAAAAAGCTTCTATTACCTTTAAACGTCTTTTGCCGTTAGATGTTCTTAGGGCGACGGTGTTATCAATAATGATTTTTTCTTATGGGAGTAGAGAGTCGTGTATTGCTTTTTAAATGTATCCTTATCGAACATTGATCATTTCAGTATTTTATCAGTCTACAACTTAATGATGGCGTCGTCTGATCAATATAGGCGTTGGGATTGTCTTTTGGACTGATTACAGTAATCATGGTTTTGTTTGGAGCAACGAAATTGATTAACTACATTTGTGTTTCGGAGTTTGGATTTCATAGACGTGTTATTAATTGGTAAGTATGAGGTTAGCAGTAAGCGTGTAAATTCCTCCTTGGAGGAGTTTCTAATGCATTACTTATCATCTCTCAGTTGCGTCTCTGTCTTTGTGCAGAGTGCGCTCAGGGACGACTCTGTCAAAGGACAGAGTTACAACTGAGGGAAATTATACTGAGATGTGCCCAGCCCTGGGGATGAGCTGCCCGAGGCTGACCCTCTCATGGCACTAGAGAGAGAGAGAGAGAGGGATCGGTGCTCGCACCGACGCCAGCGCAACCGACGGTTGCAGGAGCTGCAGGCAATTTTTGTTCCTTGCCCGGGTGTTCACGCTCGGGTCCCCCCCTTAAAAAAGACCATGTGTCACATCTTGTCTCAGTAGGGAGACAGAATAAATATCGTATGAGGTTAACAGTTTTTAGTTTCCTAAAGTATATTATGTTTTACATGTTTGCTGGGATTGATGCGTGAAATGTATTATTTTATGAAGTATCGCATGGCGAATTCGTCTCTTTCATAATTTTTATGAATCTGGTTGCTGTGAAATATATTAATGCTTACTTGTGCTGTATATTTTAGGATGGCGCTGTTTAATTTTTGCATGAATAATGTTATTTGGTTATTGAAAAGGTAGCTGAGAAAGTTATTGTTAACCAATATTTTTTTTTATATCAGAGTTCACTGGAAAATATTTTCCAGTAAGAGGAGGTTGGGTGTGCTCTATTTAAATATTCTTGGTGGAGAAGGTAATAACTCCTCCAGGTAGTCAACCGTTAAAAATGGGACAACTTCTTATTTAAAACTTTGTAAATGCCTCCAATTGCATATAAAGATTTTACTATCGGGTCATGTAATGTGAAAGGAATCGTGAAGAAGGAAAAAAAGGAATTATTAGCTCGGTACTTGCATAGTTATAACATTGATATCTGCTTTGATTTAGTTTGTTTTCTTTTACGGTATATTAACACTTTAATGGGTTATTTAATGCCGACAAGATTTTTATTGCTAGCAATAATTTTTTTCAAAATGTATTGTTGGTAATATTTTTTTTTCAAAAATGTATTGCTGGTAACCCCCCAAAGTATTGCTGGTATTAATACCTATTTTTATACTTTCATGGTGTTTTCACCTCCTTTTGGTGGGGGTAACTATTTGCTCATAGCTGGGAACCTGACAGGTGCTACCAACCCGCACATGAAAACACTAGCAATTAAGAAGTATTTTCACGCTCTTCAAATCATTCGGATCAAAGGACTTGCTGTCGGATATAGTTTATCGTCACACCCAGGACGGGTTAATGTATGTTGTCTCCATGAAACCAAAATCAAATATTAATACCCGAGTTAGACAACACAAGCTTTGGAAACAGTAAATGTGATGGAAATGGTTTTGTCATCAATGCTAAATGACGTTGGACAAACAATCATAGAATAAGCATTGAACAAAGACATTGGAAGAACTTTCAGCAGATTCCCATCATTGTTCAAAAAAAAAAAAACTATGAAGGGCTTGTAAGACCACCACCACTTTTGTGAATTAACAAAGAAGATTGAGATGTGGAGAGGACTAATTTATTAGTTAGTTACAAGGTTACTGAAGATAAGAAATCACGTTGATTTTCATTGTACCTTCAAGTCGAAACATCCCTCATGATGACAATGATAAATTCTCACTTAGCTCGTATCTGCTCAGCCACCATGCAGTGTTGATTCCTATATCTACACTGTTCATTTTTCCTTCTTTCTTTCTTTCTTTCTTTCTTTCTTTCTTTCTCTATCTATCTATCTATCTAAAAATATATATATAAAAGTGAACACTGAAGTCAACACTTGTCGCCTCTAAGTGTTGACTTCAATGTTCACTTTTATATTTACACACGCTCTATCTCTGATATTGAGCACTTTATCCCCACATATAGCACACCTTAAGAGTATATTTCTTCATATATATATATATATATATATATATATATATATATATATGTATGTATGTATGTATGTATGGGTATGATAAAATATACATATACCCACATATACTTGCACGTACCTATAAATGTATTTCTTCTTCAGGTCTTATAAATACATTGCTGAATGTTATGTAACACAGCTATAAGTGCATATATCAGTGAATATACACAATATCCAACGTCGATAGCACAACTGGGAGTTTCACGCAGTCTTGCAATCTTCAGGTGCTGTGTATATTTTGACCATTAAAGCGTTCGCGTTCTCGTGATGATGATTTTGAGCTTCTGAATTTGAATGATGTAAATTAGAAATAATTAATTATGATACCTTAAGCAACAATAATTAAATAAACAAGTCTTAACATACAGTTTTAAATCAACACCACGACAAAGTCAAGGAAGATTTAATTTATTTTTTTAATTAGCATCCTTACGTTTTTCGGTTTTATAAGAGTAAGGGAATAAGGAAATTTTCCATAATTTTCAATGTCCCAAACCCTTTTGGTCACTTCTTTCGCCATTTTCAAGGAGGTTTTATTTTTGGCGATGTTTGTTTTATCATATATATATATATATATATATATATATATATATATATATATATATATATATATATGTGTGTGTGTGTTTGTGTGTGTGTATTTCTCACTAAAGACACGTGTCGGTGTTTGAACTCGGGTTAAAAAAAAAAAAACGATGTTCATACGCTGATTTCATACAAGGCACTAAGCCACACATACTTTAAAGTTTGGCGCAACACAGTCTTCTTTCTTTACATTTTACACATTTAGCCCATGTGCAAGAGAAAACTTGGTTGGGGAAGCCGCGTCGTAGATCCAAGATGAAAGTTGCATTTCTTGGAGGTAGCGGAGTGTTTAGTAAGAGTGATGTATATTTTTAAGGGTTAAAAGACGAGGGAGTAGGCGCCGCGTAGAAAGGTGATAGCATGAAATAAAGAAAGCGCTCATGGCTGCGCGCTTAGCAACACTTTATTCGTAACATTTACAATGAGGATTTTCTGGAGGTTTTCATGGCGTAGTTCCGGCATTTTGCACATAAATTGAAAGACTGCTTTTTTTTTCTTCAAGTGCACTTAAACACGTGTGCGAATTATAAGATGTGTTGAAAAGTTCTCAACCCAACCGACTTTCCAAAATCAATATTTTGATGTTTGGTCATTACAATTGGGTGGGTCTGAGAAATTTTCATCCTATATATACAGGGTGTCCCCAAAATGTATATAACACTTTAAATGACAATAAATGCAAACAAGATTAATGGTTAAAATGAAGAAATATTAAAGTTTATTGACTTACAAAGATTAACGGTTTAAATTAAATATTAAACAAAATAAAATGCATGCCTACGACGACGAAGTGAGTACATTTTTTGAAGACACATATTCTAGAATGTTTCACTTTTATTAAAGCTTCGTCCGCTGAATCTCTGACAAAGCTTTAATAAAAGTGAAACATTCTAGAACGGGTATACGTTTCCGATTTCTTCTTTGTTCGATCCTGTCAGATTTCGATCCATATTTGATGTGAATTTGATCTTTAACTCATATATATAGATATATATTGTTGTGTATTTAGGCAGCAATCCCTCTTTAATACATGTCTTGTTAAACATGACTGACAAGGTACTTTTGTTAAGTTTTATTGTTATATTTTTCTTGTATGCAAACAAGATTGTTCGTGTGTAAGCTTTGTACAAGTGTTTGTTGATTTCAACCGCTTTTGGCTAATTTTTAGTTATTTACAGGGATTTTGGTTATACAACTATAATAAATGTTTCGGAAGTCGTATTGTAGACCGATCTGTCTATCTATCTATCTATCTATCTATATATATATATATATATATATATATATATATATATATATATATATATATATATATAGTTGAGTTAGTTAATGGAATTATTTGGTAATCCGTATGGATGATTCCAAGGAGGATGTAATCCAGAGAGCTCAATGTAAAAACAGAGCAAATATTAATTATATTAAGAAACAGACAAATTTAAGGGTTCATGGAATTATAATTTATTTCCTTTGGACCGGAATTTTGGTCCTAATTCTTCAGATCTCCATTTTCATACAAAAATATTAGTGACTAATTTTTCCAGGCTTAAGAAACTTACATATTATTATTTTTAATTTATGCACCCATGTGTTTGAGGAGGCAGTTTTAAGTTGGTATAAGATAATAGAGAGAGGAGGAGGAGGAGGAGGAGGAAGACGATAGATATGTGATCGAAACTAGAGAGGGGAAGGAGAGATAGGAAGATGTTTATATCTATCTTCATTAAGATAAGAGACCAGACATGTAGACCTATATATATATATATATATATATATATATATATATATATAAAGACAGACCTATATTTTATATATTTTATGGATTTATACACACACACACACACACACACACAGATAGATAGATAGATAGATAGATAGATAGATAGATAGATAGATAGATAGATAGATCAACAAAGTTTAACCTTCATGCCGGAAAAGAAACGGAGTTTCAAAAGGGCGGTTATTCTGTTTAAATTCCCTGGAAGAATGCAAAAGGTACATAGATCGGTTTGTTCTTAAGAAAGGAGGATGGAATTAAGAAGTTGCATGAAAGATAGAGGAAAATAGTGAAACTAAAAGAAAATCTGTTCATTAAAAAATCTCATACCGAAAATAAAATTGTCTTGTTTTGTTTCACTTAAAAATATAAAATACGAATACGAATAAACTTTTTTGTTTACCACGTGAAAGTTTGAGAAGGTCAGTAATAGCATATAATGGTATGCCAAAACAAACTGATTTTTTTTCGGAGAGAAGTTGAGTTTCAACCAATACCTGTAAGGACTTTTTTTGGTCAACCATATAGAAGATTTTCGACCTGTAAAAATATTCAACTCGTTCACTATGAAAATAAAAATGAAAATCAGAAAGCAAATAATTTATACATCCCAAATTTTCTATTGCATAGTTAAGGGGATTTTAAAAAAAGTTGAATTTTTTGTCCAGTTTCTTCTTACGAAAATAGTTTTTGTACTACGGCAAATACACTAAACACAGGAAGATTTCTTAATAATTCCTCTTACTACTTCAACTCGGTCTAACCCTCAGACTACTATCTGGACTCACTACTTGATATATTGTCCTTTTATTAATACTCGGTGTGCGGGAATTGTATTAGACTCATGAAAACTGCTCGGCTCTATTTGAATGTGCGTGACGTGAAGAGTATAAAATTTCAAGTAACTTAATGACTATACATGTGTAATTTTGATCTCTCTGTAAAAGATAATTTTATTTTTAAATTAGTATCCACGCAACAAGGATATCGTATCTTAATTCTCAATAAAAAAAATAGTTTTATTTTGGAACTCATTAATTAATAAAATATGTCCTAATAATGTGTCCGCTATAATTTAAATCTGTCTAATTTGTTCATATTACTGTTATATACTGCGTATGGTTGCAAGAGTAACAACGAAAACAATAAAGTATTGCCGGTAAGGCGGAAAGAAAATAGACAAGATATGTTTAAATAAAATTATCTGTATATTCAGTACAATGGATCATCGTTGAATTTTTTTGTGGGCGAGGGAGGTGACCTGGAGTACCGAGAGGTCACATAAATTCTGCGAACTGCCTTGGGTGTCTGGTAGACTTATAAATATGCAAGATAGATTCTGGCGGGAAAAATTGTTTAGCACAACACAGTATAACAACTTTCCCAATAGACCTATCAGTTGATTAAATATAATTTTTCACTTCATGTTATCAGAAAACGTTAGTCCGATAAATTTTGTAAAAATAAAACTTGAAAAAACAACTATTCTTCTTGGTAAAGGATAGTTCATTTCTTCTTTATTATTTGCTGTGTCAATCAGTATTTGTGAAAGCAATATCGCCGTACATGTAACTGCAGAAAAAGGCGAAAAATATTAATCATTTGTTTATACTCCGTAATCCTAACAGTACAATGGGCATTGTAAAAAGTCAAGATTTTTTTCGGACCCTAATTGTCGTCTTTAATGTCCTCTGTATTCTTTCAACTAATCCACTGCTCTACGCGTTATAGACTGCCGTTCGAAGACGACAAAAAACGATTAATTTAGATAATTCCGAAAAATAGTCCACTTTCAAACTGTTTAGCTCGGTCAGTAATAACATATAAAGATGTGCCAAAAAAAAAAAAATCCATGTACTCACAGAACTCTCTGCAACAGTTTTAGTTGTAATTTCCGAGAAAGGCTGAGTTTCAACCCACTTTACGGTTCTACCAATAGACGTAATGACTTAAGTATGGACTGGTTGTGTTTTTAGCAGGAGGTAAAGGACCCACCAAATCTACATTTAGAGTTTGAAATCTATCATTAGGAAGATGGATTGTTGAATTGTTATCTTAGTTTCTTTATGCATCTTGTCTTGTTAACGAGTAGAACATGCCGAATACCATTTTAAAATTTATTTAAATATTATTTCTGAATGTCTGGGATAAGGATTTATCATTAGTCACACTATTTACATGTAGACAACTATCTGCATCTTTGTTGTTCTTGCTGGTGTCACTACGTTTCAGTCATTGTTTTATTCCGGCCTGCATCAGGTGTATATCGATCTGGGTAACCTACAGGGAATTCTTAACTGAATCCTTTATTTAATCTATGGATGTAGACTGTTCTTGTTCTACTGCCAATGTCTAGGAATATTTGATCTGGTCGTTATCTTTAGAACAGCTCGTATTATTTATTATCATTTCACCACAAGTAACGCGATAATGCCTCTAAGAGGCAATGGGTTAATATGGGGGGGATGAGAAGGCGATAATGCCTCTAAGACGCAATGGGTTAATAGGTGTGTGTGAGAGAGAATGAGAAGGCAATAATGCCTCTAAGACGCAAGGGGTTAATGGGGGATGAAAGAGAATGAGAAGGCGATAATGCCTCTAAGACGCAAGGGGTTAATGTGGGTGTGTGAAAGAGAATGAGGAGGCGATAATGCCTCTAAAACACAAGGGGTTAATGGGGGGGGTGAAAGAGAATGAGAAGGCGATAATGCCTCTAAGACGCAAGGGGTTAATGGCGGGGGGGTGAAAGAGAATGAGAAGTCTTTAGAAGGAACCGGACACCTAATCCTCAACAGGAGAAAAGGGATGAATATCTACTCCTATTCAATGGTCGCGGAAGGAGTTTGAACCGGGCGATGGGCGAAACTATCTACTCTTTTACTGCTCGCCCTGTTTTCATGAGTTGAAGTACACACTAGTGGCCCAGGGATTGAAATTGCAATTACCATGTCACCAAATTCACAAACCAACGCTTTAATCCATATGACTATTGTCCCGTAGAACATACAGCTGATGAAAGCTGGTAGCACAGCAGCCAAAACGTTGTGATAACAACAACAAAGATGAAGACAACAGTCCGCATGTAAATAATATTTTTATGGTTTTTCTTCAAATATTACTTTTATATACCGTACCTATGAACACTAACGGGTATGTCCCAATCCTCATAAATACGTTGGACACTATTGTAAGTGGGGGGGGATTTAATATGGTGTCTAAGTAGTCCACCACTAGAAGTGGTTTACCTACTTCACGCCGCTGGCGAGTATTGTATTTTGTTGATGTTATAAAGATTACCATTTCATTTCCAACCTCCATTTTGATTATTCTTCATTCACTAACACTTTATAGGTTACAAAAATTACAAAGACATCTATATAATTAGTTACACTATTTCTATTATTCGGACTGTTACCTCATCTTAGTTGCCATATTCACGACGTTTCGGTCATTGTGTGCTCCGGCCTTCTTCAGGTAATTGGAATTTCAAACCGAGCCCTTTATTTCGTCCACCTGGGTAGATTGTTCTAGTTCCCCGTGCCATGCCTCTTCCGGAGTGTACAACGGCCGAAACATCGTGAATATGGCAATAAAGATGAGGACAACAGTATGAACAATGTAAATAGTTTAAATAGTTACAATACCGCGGCTCAAAAATATAGACAAATGTCTATATAAGTATGTGCGCATGCATGTACGTATGTTTCTGCCTATATGCATGCATAACTGTGTGAGTTTATATGTGTGTAATATTTGAGTGCACATGTATGCGTATGTATGGTCATATATGTATGTATATATGTGCGCATATATGAGCGCGTGTATGTAAAGATGTATGTGCGCATGCGTCTCTGCGTATGTATGTGTGTACGTGTGTGCGTATGTATATCCATATGTGTGCATGTATATGTGTATATGTTTGCGTATGTAGATGTGTATGTATGTTCTTATATGATTGCGCATCTATCTGCAGATGATGTGCATATGTGTGAATGTGTGTGCGTATGTATATTTGTATGTGTGCGCGGATGTCTATGCGTATGTAGGTGCGTATATGTGTACATGACGTGAGCATGTGTGTGCATATGTATGTGCATATATATATATATATATATATATATATATATATATATCCCTATGTGGGTGCGTACATTTTCATTTGTGTTTACATACAATTATACATGTATCCGTGAATGTGTGAAAAACACCAGCTTTTATGAGATTATAAGAAAAAAAATGCTTTAGTTAGTCACTGGCATATGACGTCACTCTTCCCACAATGCATCGGTGCCTGCAACATTATGACAATGGGTCGACAGGAGGCAGCGAGTTACCCCTTTACATTCCCACCCGCTTGGCAAGCAAGTGTTCTGACACACATAATCCGTTTTGCGCTGGGGCCAGATTTCGCATCTCGCTTTATAAACATTCATCGGATTTCAATATGAAAAAAAAAAAGAAAATTTGCATAAAAATCCTTTAAAAACTACAAATCATTTCTTTTTTTTCTCTCTGACTTTTTCTCTTAAAACTTTAACGCACGTGTGTATAAACTATCTTATCACTCTTTACATTATTATCTTTACATTATTTGGACTATTGTCCTCATCTTTGTCGTCATATTTATTACGACGTTTCGGCCGTTGTACGCTCCGGCCTTCTTCAGGTGGTTGGAATATCAAACTGAACCCTTTATTTCGCTCACTGGAGTAGACTGTTCTAGTTCCACGTGCCATGGTTAATGGATGTCAGTTATCAGTTATCTCCTGTTAATTCCCTTCTCCAAGTTCTCCACTGCCTTAACCGGGTATTGAACTCACACTCTTTGGGTTCTGTCACTAGATCTAACCAACACCTTTATCCACTGTGCCATGTGTCCTTGAGAAATGAGTTAATGGGGGGGGGTTGAATGAGAATGTGAAAAAGATATGATACATGGGAATTAATGGAAGGTGACAGAATGAGAAGGCGATAAGCCTCTAAGATGCAAGGGGTTAAGTGGGGGAGTGAAAGAGAATGAGAAGACTTTAGAAGGAACCAGATACATAGCACAGTGAATAAAGGAACCGTCATCTAGCCTGACGTGCTTTACCAATTGAGCCACAGAGGAGCGTTTCGGTTAGCAAGGTCGATTTTACTGTTTTTAAACTACAATTCTCCATGGTTTTCTCTCGTACATTCATATCTGCTCGATTAGATATGAATGTAGGAGATCCTTATAAGATACAGGTTCGATTCCTGTCGGAAAATGCATATTTTCTATGAAAATTTCTCGGACATTCAGTAAATTTCGTTTATACTGTTTATTATAAACAGAGCATTTACTTAAATATTTGTATCTATAAAGAGGACGTATAAACATGAAAAATGTATTAATATATATATATATATATATATATATCGCCTTCAACGATATTTTAGTGGATACCCGTATTTGAGTAGAACGTCACTTTTTTTTTAAAACAGTGATTATTTCGTTATATCGACCTGCGCACTTGAGGAAACAAAATAAATAAAATGTGCCCTCCGGCAGAATACGAACCTTTGTTCCCCCTTTGCAGGATAAAGAACTGTCTAATCCGGTGAGCTTTGATCGCCCGGCTACATAAAGCTTTACTATCAAGCAAAGTTCTATTAGCTTTGAAAGCACATTTACCCGTTCAGATTTTCGCGAAATCCATATCGACTCAGTTTAGAATCCAAAACGCAAGCAGAGCAATTTCTAAAGAATTAATAGATTTAATTTTTTCAGTCCGACATATTTTTATTACTTCAAACGTTATCTTTAGTGGATACCCGTATTTGAGTAGACGTTCCGTTTTTTTTTAAACAAGGTTTATTTTGTCTACGGTCCGTGCACTAGAGAAAACAATATATATATATATATATATATATATATATATATATATATATAATGGACTCTCCCGTTGGTTTCGACGTATGAGGATCTGACTGCTTATTGATTCAGTTATGAAAGTTTGTGCAATAATCTTAAGTGGCATTTAAGACCCGCTCGCGATTTACAAAGGAAGCCACATATGGAGCAAGTGTGAGGATTGTGAGATGATATCACTGTTAGATTGGCTGACCTTTTAGATCTTGCTCTCGCTTCTTGAAGATGATTCAGACAACCAGATTGAAAAATTGCTGAGTCCACTAAAACACGTTGATCGCCATTCTACCCGCTCCAAAGCTAAGCGCTCAAGGGTGTTATGTGATATATTGACTGCTGACAAGTTGCTTTTCAGCTTGTCTTTGTATCTCAGCCATGGGCGTCCTACGTTCCTGTAGCCCTGATCTAACTGGCTGTACATTAGGATATATATATATATATATATATATATATATATATATATATATATATAATGTAGTTTTAAGGTATGCTATACTTATGGGTTAAAGTGATCAATATCAGGGATAGAGCGTATATAAATATAAAAGTCGAGTTTAATGTCGACCCCCAGCGGCAACAGTCTGTTTCATGCTTTTACGCCTATAAACCTAACGAATCAAAAAATATATTATTCTGCCCACTAACTCTATCACAACTACAACCGAAAAGAATATATCTAAACTCAACATAAAATTTATCACAATTACTTCAGAAACAGTCAAAGACTTAATCAATAATAAACAAAACAAGCCAGAACTTGAAGGAGGAATTTACTCTATCAAATGCTAGAATTGCCAGAAAGAATACATTGGTGAAACCTCAAGAAGTTTAAACAAAAGATTATAACAACACACAAAATGCATTGGTTGTTCACCGGAACAAAATGGACCACAATTTTCAGATAGGGAATTAAAATTTTGATTAAAAGAGAAAATAATCTCCTGAGATGAAAGTGTCTGGAAAGTGCCTTGATCGCTAGTTCAGCCACAGTAAATTTGTGTGCAGGCTCTTACAATATATTACCATTCTTGGTAGATTTTAAATTGTCACAGTGTGGGATAGTCAGAGACAGAGGCGATGGAGAGTAAAAAAAAGCACAGATGAATTTGTCTAGACTGAGAAAAAATATTCTTTCAAAAATATTGTGGCTACCAGAGTCTCTCGTTTCGTGCGCATGTGTAGACGTGGCAACGTCATAAAAGCCCAGTCCGATGAAATCCTAACGGATGAAACGCGTCACAAAAAACTTTCCAGTGTGTCATATTATATATATATATATATATATATATATATACTAGCAGCATGGCCCGGCGTTGCCCGTGCTTGATTCAAAAATCGTACGACTCATACATAAATCGCTATCACTTGACTTAAAATATTTTTGCCTTTCCTTGCCTTTTAAGGAGTGCCCTTTGCCGTGCTGATGTTGCTACATGCCTTACTTCTTGCCTATCTCACACTGCGAATTTTTTCTAAGCTCTATACTAAACATTAAATCTGTTAAAAAAAAGAACTAAACAAAATGAACACAAAACGATCAGCTTTAAAAAAGGACTCGTAACTGGAAAAACCGAACGAAAAAAGAATGTTAACAACAAATACTTTTTCACACCCAACCCAGTTCTGCGGAATCAGAATCAACGTTGAGTTTAAGCAAGCGAATGAGCCAATTGGAGTAAAGTGCCATGCAGATTTAAATTTTTCCCACTTGTGACGAATGCAGCTATCGATTTTTTGCATGCTAGCATGCTAGTTAACATTCGTGTCAGTCAGCTGTTTGCTCTCACGCTGGCCAATAGAATCTTTCTGCCTATTCGTGGCAGCCTGCTATTGGCACTCACTCTGACCAGTACAAAATGGCTGCAAACTACATGAAAACAGCCGGAGAAGCATGAAAAAATCGATTATTTCCACTATCGATGGGAGTTGGGAAATGCAAAGTCGGTCTTGTCTTTTGCGCTAACTTGGAGCATGTGCATGTAAATTTTGGTGCAAATCCGTCGAAAATTGCGGCCGTGCATTCGTTACACACACACACACACACACACATCCTGCCTTTTATAGATGGTGATATATATAGTGCGGTAGAAGGACCTTATACATTTTAAATTGTCACCTATGAGGTGCAATTAAACTTAAGTAAGTGGCGATGGTGTCTTCATCTAGCCAATGTTTTATCATATTTTTTTCAGATACCATCAGTTAGCATTATGGCTCGGACAGGTGCATCCCGTTCATTTTGAATGTTGAAACGTTTATTTAAGACTGGTGAATCTGTAATTGCAAGAACTTTTCGTGCTCATTTCATGTTAGGTCAGAATGATGCTGTTTCGGATAGAAAATCGATACGGCTATGGGTTAAAAAGTTCAGGGCCACAGGTTCAGCGCTTAAAAGAAAAACACCTGGAAAACCTCGAATTTCCAGGTGATGGAAAACTCTAGGAATCGTCTACAACAGTCGATGGCGAATTGAGGCCAGCATTTGGAAGATGATATTTTAAAAACCAAATTAATAAAAACTGTAATTCTTTGTGAAATAATATTTAATAAATTTAAGCGTGCTACTAGACTAGCATTTAGGTCCCACCCGTTTACCGTTGAAATAGTTAAATGTAACCCCCACTTATACTCCAACAGCTTCTTTTTTCGCACTTCCCCCCTGTGGAACTCCCTTCCGTTTACTCGCTTCCCTGATAACTACAATCTTCAAAAATTTAAATGGGACGTCAATTGCCATCTTCTGATGTCAATTGACGTCACATTTAAATCTTTTATCCTTTACTCATCCCCCCCTATACATAGTTCATCGCTCACCTTCACTCTACATAAACCCCGTGAACTAGCGGCACTCCCGCCTTGCTTAAGATGAAAGGCATAAAATATATATATATATATATAGCAGACACGTTGGTCTTTTTCACCACCTTTAAAATGTGGGACGTATTTCTGCCGCACACTTTTACGTGTGTAAATAAGCCGTTACATTCACTTACGTGCTCATACCCTTGGGAAAGGTATGAATCCTCAAGTTCTCCCTCAGCTATGGGTAATTAACAGGACAGACTGAGGTTCTATAGCCTTGGGCGGTAACCGCTCTAGGAGAAGGAATTCAAACCAGCCTGCAGAGGGTTGGGCTCCGACAGGCTATCTTTTTCAAGAAGCACCGGTTCTACTGCAGCTGCAGTACACATGGTGCCCCTACGACCCTGATAGGTCACTGGATTCGTGATATATATATATATATATATATATATATATATATATATATATATATATATATAGTTTTAAGGTGTGCTATATTTATGGGATAAAGTGCTCAATATCCGAAATCGTATGTAAATATAAAGTGAACATTAAGTCAACACTCAGAGTCGACAGACTGTTTCATGCTAGACGCAATCCTGATTGCGTCTCGTATGAAAACAGTCTGTCGACTCTGAGTGTTATATATATATATATATATATATATATATATATATATATATATATATATATATATATAACAAAATGGGCTCGCTAATTTTTGGGAACTACAT